AAAAAAAAAAAGAATAAGAGATGGTTAAAACTTCAACAGTTTTTGCTCTTACTTTTATTATCTTTTCTCTACTATAATATTTTAGATTAATGAAACAATAAATCCTTCATCCAACCGATTTTATTTAATGTTATGGTAAAATGTTAATCTTGCAATTCTTAGCACTTGTGAGGGCGAATCTTTCAAAGACCGTATATTTTACAGGCACACAATGAAATTTAGGCTGTTCTTAAAGTTACATGGAGAAAATGATGCTGAAGCAATGGTTGTAAAAGGTTTTTGTTGTTGTATGAACAGAAAAAGGAAAAGTAGGTTGAATTAAAATTGGGGTTTGGCCTTTTTGAATGCCCTATGTAATGTCTTTGAACCTTTCTCTCCCCCCCATCTCTGTCTCTCTCTCTATCTCTCTATCTCTGTCTCTCTCTCTCTGTATCTCTGTCTCTCTCTCTCTCTCTCTCTCTCTCTCTCTCTCTCTCTCACACACACACACACACACACACACACAGGTAAGATTACATCCTGAGGGCCCTGCAGTGAAGCTGAGCTCTAACTTTGCTCCGCACTTCCTGTCTCTGCTGTCCCTTGAGAGCCCCCTGCTTCTGACTCATCCTTAAGCCCTGAACTTGGTCAGTCTCTAAGGCTGGATCCCAAACTGATCCTCACACGCCACCCGAGAGGCTCCTCTGCCCATCCCAAGTGCCCTCTCCCCAAGTGGCAGTTCTCTGACACCCTTCACAGAATGGCACCCTGAATCTGAAAGCCTTCCTGCCTCAGCCATGTGCCACTCTGCCCTACCCCGCTCCCCGGCATGCCTGGGCCTTTGTAGGGACCCACTCGGGACCTGCTGTGGCATATTTGCTTTCCACCTGTCATCCCTCCAGATGGCGGAAATGAATATAGCACTGGGATAACCACAGAGAAGGAGCCATCCTGTAATCAGTGGCTGCATAAGGAATGTGTGAAACCAGATTATACCACTTATTTCTCCATTTAGAATTGCTTCAAAGGCTTTCATTCCCCATAAATGACACAGTACGCAAACCAACCGTGTTCTGCTCAGGCTGCAAGGCCTTCCTGGCCTGTCCCCAGGGCACAGGAGATCCAGGTGAAAACAGGTGTGGCTGGAAAGTAGCAGAGTTCAGGAGGAAGACCGGGACAGGGACGTTATGGCAGCAGGAGTCACACGTTTTTTAGATAAATAAAATACCGCGATGATGATGAGAATCACATAAACAACAGATGGCTAAGAACACACACAAATGAAGGCATTTATGGGCAATTCATACAGAAAAATATATCCAGGGCGACACACACAGGCCCGGAAGTCACTCGGGTCCTTTCTCCTAGTGCAGATGCTGTCCGAATTCTGCACAAGACAGTGTCCGGCAGTCTCTCCCGTGGAGAACTGTACACTCCCTGGAAACACGAGCTAGGATTCTGCCAGTCATCGCTACCGCTCGATTTTCTCCACTTGCCTCTAAAAGAATGTCACGTTACACAAAAGCAAGGATTTTGAGTTCGAGGGAACAGTGACGGGAGTGAGTCTGCTGGAACCCACGGCTCCCACCCAATTCAAATGGCGTGGAAGGGCGGAGGGTCCGGGGTCTGGCTGGCAGCAGGCAGCCACGGTGGTGGAAAGGACACCTCAGAGAGCCAGACAGCGTGATCGAGGCTTCTCACCAGGGCTTAAGTGCTTAATCTGAACCCACCCCACAGTCCATGCTTGAAGTATGTTATGCACTAATACGAATTTTAAGATCATTTTAATCACAGAAGTAACGCATTAATACATGAACCTTACAGGTGCCAACTAAATTTGCCTTTGATTCTCAGCTCACAATAAAGCAGCCCCTATTACCTGTTAGGTTTGTGCTGTGAACCAGACCCCATCCTGAGAGCTCCCATGTCCCCGAGTCACAGACAGTACCACTGGTGCCACAGCCCCTTGTACCCTGCTTATGTACCCTGCTCTTCTGCTGCCAGTGGAGGGACAGCAGGTGACCCAGCCTACTCTGAGTCCTCCTGAAGGGCTGCCAATGCCACTCGCAGGGCACAGATGCACCCATGGGAGTGCAGAAGCACAGGGGAGGGACAGTGCAGAGAAGACCGGGCAGGAGAGGAGGACAAGGCAAGGAGCGCCACTCACTGCATGCAGGGGAACTACTCTCACAGCATCTTGCACACAGGCGCCCCGGCAAGGCTCTACCCTGCCTGCTGTCTCTGCCATCTTGCGTCCCACCTCTTCTGGGGTCTTGGAAGATCTCAGTGGCTTCCACGTGTCTGCTCTCAGACCTGGAGGAGCCCGGCCCTTCCTCTTCCTCTGCCTGCCCAGGGCCCTTTCTCCTTCTCCTCCTCCTCTGGTGCTGCCCAGGGTACAGTTCATTCCCCACCACAATGTGCTGTGCTCCCCAGGCCTGTAGAGCACAGTTTGGGGGTGAGGGATGCATCAGAGGGAGGTGTCACTTAGTTTTCCTTCATCTACGGGTGATTTATAAATGGGGCGGAGATGCCAGGGCCCAGCCGTGGCTGCCCCTGGAGGAAGGAGGGACACGGAAGAGCCTGTGCTCTGAGCACGGCTAGGGGCACACTCTGTCCCTCTTGAGCTCTGAAATCTGGATAGAAGGACTCCAGATCGCAATTGGAAAGACACAGGCCTGGGTAAGTGCTACGGAGAGAAAGTGGCACAGGAGGTGCTCGGTGCCTGCCCCAGCCAGGGGCTGCTCGAGCCGGGACTCATGGCCTGCACCTGCTGCTCTGAGCAGCACGCTGACCTCTGAGACAAGGGCTCCAACCTCAGTTTCCTCACATCCAAAACAAGGTCACTGCTCTCCGCACTGCCCCCTTCCCCTCTACTCCTCAGAGCTGTCACTGTGCTGAACTGTTAAGTAATCAATACAAAGCCCTGGGAAGCTGCCACAAGCTATGCAGATGAATTGTTCTTCATGAGGTACTCCTCATACTAAGACTCCAATCCCAAATAAACACACAGCCCGCACAGGTCACATGCCAGTGTCATGGCACTAAAGATAAGTCCTCTCGTCGGGCTGTGGTGGTGTATGCCTATAATCCCAGCCATTTGAAAGGCTGAGGCAGGAGGATCCCAAATTTAAGCCCAGCCTCAGCAACTGAGTGACTGTAATGAAACCCTGTCACAGAAGTAAAATAAAGTAAGAAAAAAGTAGTGGAGATGAGAAGTCCCAGGTTCAATTCCCAGTAGTATAAGAAAGAAAAAAAAAAAGAAAAAGCTGGGGAGAAATGTATGTCCATCTGGCCTGAATGGAAGGAAATCCTGAACTGGCACACTGCCCTGAAGGAGCATGGGAACTGCCTACCTGGGTTCCTATCATGCTGATTTCAGGCTGCCCGTGTATATGGTCTGATTAAATTTAGGGAAGGATGATGAAATCCACAAGCCCTCCAAGACCCATTAGTATCATACAAGGATATTTTTAGTTAAGCAAATAGAAATTTTATCTAACACTCTATGCAGCTTTACAAGGCACAAGTGACTCCAGTTTCTCCCATCACCTAGAATTGCTCTTAAAAATCTGGAAGGAACATCCATTAATTGTATGCTAAGCCAAATGAGGGCCGAGGGTGAATGCTGAGCTTGGAACTTGGCAGGTGGAATAATCCACAGGCCGGCAGCATCCACTCCACGGCTCCCTGTGCCCCTGCCTGCCTGGCCAGCATCCCAGGTGGGGTCCACGGCACCCCACCCACAGCCAGCATGCTTCCTAAGGAGGGCTGCACTTTGCAAGCCCTAAGTCTGACTTGCGGCTGGGGAATAAGCACATTTTAAACGAAATGCCTTTCAGGTCTAGTGCAAAGTGAATTGCAAACAGACTTTATTTCTGCAAAGCCCATTGTTTGCCTAAAATATGTAAAAGTTCCCACTCTGAAGCTACAGAAGAGCAGCGTTCGCTAACTAGACAATCCAAAGGCATCCCACAAGTGAACGACTCTTGGCCTCTCTCCCTCCTCCCCACTCCTCTTTCTCTCCCCTACCTGCTCCTCTTCCGCCCTGCCTTCTCCCAGACTTTCAACCTCCTTTGGTGGTGCTAAGAAGTAAGGAGAAAATGGATTCATGCAATACAGTGGAGACGGTTATGCTTTTTAAAAATTGATGTCCATTTCCAAGGTTCCAATGCACACCCCAGCGCATGCAACGCTATCCTCAGCTGCTGAGTCCGGTCCAGCAGAGACACAGACGCAGGGCCCTGAGGTGTCCCTGGCCTCCTCCTGTGCCCAATGCCACCCTTCACATGCATGGGAGAGACTCCGCTGGGTGGTGCAGTTACACTGTCTTAGTGGAAGGATTGATCTCAGGTACCTCTGCTTTCTCAGCCTGTGTTCCCGTGTGTACGCGTGTGGTGTGTACATTCTTAGCTAAGAGTACTCTTAAAGGGCAGCAATAACAACCTGAAAATTTGGTGTCACATTATTTATGAACCAATACTATACATATACAACCCTTTACCTACACAGTCCAGCAGTGATTCGGTAGAAATGATTTTCGTCACCTATAGGATGACACAGCAACCATCTGTGACTCACACTCCCCTGTCACTGATCCTGGGGTGGCTGGAGTCAGTAATTCCTCCCCTCCTCCTCCTCCTCGCTCTTTGATTCAGCCTTGGCAGGAATGAACTCTGGGTCCATGGACCTGGTATACCTTGGGTGCTTTGTCACAGTGATTTAAAGCTGATAGACTCCACAGCGACTTTCTGGATGCTTGCAGACACTTTAGGGACCAGTGGAAGCTGGGATGCAGTGAACCACATGGAATCACCCTGGCTTCTCTGCCTGCTCTGCGGGACTCTCTTGGATCCCTTGTGTGTCAGCTGCATGATGCTGAAACCCGAGCTCCACAAGCTTCTTGGAACAGGCTTACTCTCAGCAGAAGCACCAGTTTTCTCCGGAAGCCTCTGGTGGCTCTCCAGGCCAACTCCTCCCCTCCACGATCCCACCCCGTGTCCCTGAGCTTGGAGGCCACCAACCTGCCAGCCTTGTAGCTTGCACTGCTGGAGAACAAGCCGACATCTCTCCTCTGCTGACAGCTCCTTCCTCTCACCCGACACGGTCTCGGCCAAGGGCTGGTATCTGCAGAGAGAGCAGTGACAGGGATGAATCATGACATCAGATGAGTAAATGACCACAGTCCACAGGGACGTCCCTATCACATCCATTCTCAGAAAACTCTCAGTCCACCCCAGGAACTCCTAATCCCCGTTCACCGGGCACAGCACAGCCACCTGGGGCAGGACTACACCTTTCCCAGGTAAGGACTTTACGTGATGCAGACACGTGTTCCTGCCATTTATGTCAGTGCTGTCACAAAGCAATGCAAATCATTCCCAGTGCAAATCTGCCACTTGTTGGCTACACATTGGCTTGTTCTTTAAAGATACACTTTTTAAAGAAACTCAAGCTTGTTTTTATTATCACTTGAAAGTGAATCTAAACATTGTTAGGATCCCTAATAAGGGACTATCAAAATATCTGTAAGTTTTATTTAAATGAGAGGTAGGACAGTATTATATTTTAGGTACTGAATATTTTAAATATTCTTAAGAACATTTTTAGTTTAGAAAGAAGCTTAGTGTAATGACCTTCCATCCCCTAACTGAAATTCAGTCACATAATAGTTTCCTATAGATTTTTCAAAATGACTCTCCAAATATTTTTATTAGTCCATGTCTGCAGTTCATGAAGAACATGCTTCTTGTGCGAAGTTGATGCTTATCCATAAAACAGCTTAATTCATTTTTCATCCCCTTCTCCTCCTCTTCTGTTCCCTCCCTCCATCTCTTGATTGCCTCCCCAGCTTCTAAGATGTATCTCTGTACTTTTATTGCCTTTTATTTTGGTCATTATTTGTAATCTGGGTAACATAAAAGAAGCCACATGATATTTAAGTTTCTGGGTCTGACTTATTTCACTTAACATTCTGGTCTCAAGGTGCCTCCATTTTCCTACACATGACTCCAGCCTTCCTTCTTTATGGCAGAGTAGTACTCCACTGTGTGTAAATACCACTTTTCCTTACCCATCTACCTGCTGATGGACATAGGCTGCTTCCAAGATTCAGATATTGTGATCCATGCTGCTATAAACATGGGTGTGCATGAATCACCATAAAATTATGTCAGGAAGACACCTGAAAGGGGTAGAGTGGGGTGGAATGGAATTTCTAGATTTAGTTTTCTGAGGGTTTCTGAATGATTTCCACAGTGGTCATCCTTGTCTATATTGCCATCAACAGGGCACAAGGATGTGACTTCTTACACAGCAGGCCCTGAACCCCGCAGCCGCCTCTGTCCCTGCCCATCATTGTGGTTGCAGAAAGGAAGGAGACTCGGGGCAGGGCTGGCAGGTAGATAGCGCATGCATGTGGGATGGAGCTGAGCAGGCGCCCAGGCTGTGAAGGTGGACCGGGAGAGATGCTGGGACACGACCACACACAGCAGTGTAGCTCTCTGGTACTCAGTGATGCTCAGTACTGCTCTTCCAGAGGTGAACAGTATAAGTGAGGGGCAGACAGGAATAAACTGGAAGGAGAGCACCCAGCTTCCCAACATGTTTGCTCAGAGGCCCCTGTTAAGTCACTCAGAAGTAATTTTCTGCCTAGAGTTGGGGTGAGGTTATTCAGGGCTGGTACTGGCTGTGTGTGTTCCTTTAGACAAGATGCATCTCTTTTCTGAAGCAGATCTCTCTTCCAAGTGGCTCAGGCCACATGCTGAGTCCATGGTATCCAGAAAGGAACAAGTGAAGGAAGTAAATGACATCACAGTAAGCCACAGGACAGGAAGTGGGAGAAGACAGGAAGTCATGGGACAGGAAGTGGGGAGGAGACAGGAAGTCACGGGACAGGAAGCGGGGAGGAGGCAGGATGTCATAGTCTTTTTCCCTGGATGAGGACAAAGGACCTTCAGTGTCATAGCACAGACCCCTCATGGACACAAGAGGCCTGCATAACCATCCACTTTGGATGGAGTAAGACAGATAGGGTTCGTGGAAATTAAGTTGTCTGTCCAAATACAAAGATGGTGATGAGTCCATTTTGTTCTCCCAAAATATCAGAGCCTATGAACTGTTTGGAAGTGGGATCTTCGCAGCATAATGAAGTTAACATGAGACTGCTAGGGTGGCCACTAAGTCAACATGACTCATGCACATAAAAGAAGAGACCAAGAGTGAGAAACCAGCATAACACTATGTAGTGGTGGTCAAGTCAGGAAGGAGCACCAAATACCAAGAGCCACTACCAGGGCAGGGACATGGCCAGATAGGCCTGGACTCCAAGTCTCAGGCAGGGGCAGCTGTGCTGACTTCTATGGTTTTGACTTCCAGCCTCCTGCAACAGGAGCCTGTGAATTTCCACATCTTTGGTGCTGTCTATGGAACCATGTGTGAGGAACAAGGGGCCAAGCTGGAGTCTGATCTGGACACTGTCTTTCCATTGCCTGGGCTGAGTCCAGGGAAGACCACTCACCCTGGGTCTGACTGATTCTGCAGAAGACACCAACTGTGCAAAGCCAAAAAGGGAAAATCCCACAGTCTCTGCCATCACAGGTCACACAGAGGGGAGGGACCCTGCTCTGTGGACCTCCAGGTGACCATGGCTCTGCTGGGTGATACTCATTCATGCTGTGGGAAGAACAAGACATCTGCCACCTAGCCTGAGTCACACAATGCAATGAAATCACTCAAATTATCTCTTTATTCTCCCCAGCAATTGTCTTATTCGAGAACTTTGTTAATTATCATCAAGAATTTAATTGATGCAATTCCAACATCTGAATATAATAGGAACAAGTCAGAAGAAAAATCTTCCTCTATGGTGCTTTTTTTCCCTCACTTTGTATTGTTCTTTTGACACTTAAAATGGTGTAATTGTAACATTTCAACCGAAAAGACAAAACCATCATCTTAGACAGGGCTGAGATACTGGGTTTAGGGTGATTTTAAAAATCGTGCCTTTGGAATGTCAGTGTTACCTGCAAGGTGACATCTCTGGTATAGAAGGGCATGATCCCCCGTGTCACTGCAGAGCCTCAGCCTCAGGGACTTCATCCCAAGCTATCACACTTTGCCTGCAGATCCCTGGTGTGCTCCAACTGCGACAGAGCCCCCAGGACTGTGAACAGCAAGCCTCAGCACCCTCCAGCTTGTGCTTCCTGTCTCAGTGCACCTTGGGATGAGGGCCACGACCATGTTGGTGCCCTCCGTCTTGAATCGGGGTCAATAGGCCCCCTTGTTCAGGCTCAGTCAATGCAGCCATGCTGCCTGAGCACCAAGAGTGTGCTGGGACCCTTTGGGTGCTAGAAGGACACAGATCAGACTCAGACCTGGGGCTCTATCACAGGAGGAGAATGAGATAAGAAGGAGGGAAGGAAGGAAGGGGGAGGGAGAGAAGGAAGACAGGGAGGAAGAGAGAAGTAAGGAAGGGTTCTGGGTGTGGTCATAAAGGAGCAGAAGCAGTGGAAACTTGGCTGTGAGGTGGGATCAGCCTCTTGGGGACACCAGGGAGGCCAGTGTGCTTGGAGAAGCAGAAACAAATAAACAGGCGTGGCATATGAGTTCCCAGGTGGAGCTGGAGGGAGGGGATGGGCTGGTACCTGAGGCCTGGGTCCCAGGTACTGCCAAAGAGCCATGTCCCCATATCCAGGATCCAAGAGCATCTCTGAGACTGCTGGCTGAGGCAGGCTGCAGTGGGCATGGGACAGCCCGAGATCACCGAGAGCCCTTCCTGCCACCTAGAAGTCCTAGGCCAGTGGCCATGCGGGTGGCTCTGCATGCAGGAGGTGTGACAGAAAACTACACTGAATATTCAGGTTAAAAATATTATTTCAGTAAAAGACACACTGTCAGGAATCCCTGCTAAATCCTCCCTTCAAACACTCATCCCATTGTCCTCGGCACTTCCTGCAGCAGCTCTGGAGTCCTCTTTCCTGAGGGTCTTTGATTGTTGGCTGCCTCCCTGTCCTGAAAGGACTTAAAATGTTTCCCTTTGTGGTCCTTTTGTTTGTTTGTTTGTTTGTTTCATGGGCATTTTGACTTTGGGAAGAACTAGAAGTCACACAGTGCCTGATCTAGTGGATGAGGTGCAGGAGGACACAGCGTCAGGTTCTTAGGAGCCCCCTTTCCATTGGATGGTGCTTGGCGGCAGCAGTGACTGTGTTCTGATCACATCTCATAGAGACCCTCAGGAAAGAGGACTCCAGAGCTGCTGCAGGAAGTGGCAAGAATGGGATGAGAGCACCCAAAGTGAGAAGGGGAGCTCTGGAGGAGGACGCATGCGTGTTACACTGTGACAGCCTTTGGGAATTTAGTCATTCACCATCCCTCTGCTCACCCATCCTTGCAAAGACCCTTCCATGGGCCGGTGGGAGGTGGAGGGAAGAGCAGGTGGGACCAGTATCAGGTGCATGGTGTTGACCTGCATGCAGAAGCCAGGAAAGGCTGATGCCATAGCATCAGAAGGGAGGCCGTGCAGCTGAGAGCCAGAAGGGGGGCACTCTGAGGATGCAAGAGGAGGTGTGGACCACAGATCCCAGTTCTCCAGTACCCTAGAGCCACAATACTGCCTCCCAGGTTGCCAGGCTCTAAAGATCATGACCCTGATCTCCCAGGACTGCATCGGGCAGCAGTGAGCTCTCAGGAGCCTGTCTGTCCTATCCTGATGCCCAGGACTTAGGGCCCTATCTGCGTGAAGGGGCCCCATATCTTAGACTTCATCTCTACCTCTTCCAGCCTCTCCCCCCCTCCTGTCACTTCCATCCTGAATCACTGGTGCACAGTGGGGCTCAGGTTCAAAGTTCCCAGTGCCTCCCAATTTAAAGGAGAACCTGACTCTTATTTCATGGCCCTGGGTACAGAGTAGAGCTCCAATGGTGACCACAGAAGTCATGATACCACAATGGTGCTCCACTAACCCCTTGAAGGGGACAACTAGGAATGGGTCGAGTCATTTTTAAGGAAAATACAAGGAGGTGAATTAAGGTATTTTTTTAAAACCTCAGCTGGTTCCTCTGAATTTGTTTTTGTTGCTGAATATACCTTAGTCTCTTCCTTCCAAGGAAAATTCTGTTGCACTGGTA